TCTCTATAAAAAATAGCCAAAGTGAATATGCAAGAATTACTAGACAAATTGAGAAGAATAACACCTCATCAAGAGTCAAGGTAGCCTTGGACTAGCTGAAGGAACAGATACATAGAGAGATTGCTCACTTTCCAATGGAATCTCACACCATTACATGTACATTATCACATTCTACCTATCACTTTCCTTTTTTGTTGCAAGAATTCCACCGCAGTCCTATTGTGGGTCACTTGAGAGAATCTTGGAAATGTATCGTGTTTGGCACATAAAAATATGTAATAAAGGAGTTTGTTAGACAGCATACGTGTGCAAACAAAGGAAATAGCTGACTACTTCCTCTCCTAGTTTATTCCATCCACTACCCATATCTGTCATATTTGGGAGGATATGATATATCCATAAGCTTCAGTCAGGATTTCGCTATATTTGAAGGAGGTGATACTAACCTGGTAACAGTAACAACCCAACCAAATATTGCCACTTCTAACCACTTGAACATCCATTCACTGCCAAGGGAGTAGCCACCAAAATAAATAAATAAATGAATAAAAAACCTGTATGTTTACCAAGGACCATGGCGACGGATGAAGACTGCATTTTCACTGACCTATACGACATCTACCTCCAGCAAAGCACATACCATTGTCCTTAAACTAATGAGCAATGCAAAATGGTATGGGTATCTCGGTATCTATCGATGTTGTTTCACTACGTACAAACTGAACTGGTGAAATAGGTGGAGTTGGGTGCAATACCTTTACCACACTGCTATTAACACCACTCCTTCCGTTGTACGTTTGCTCATCATTGTCAATGAAAAATAACTTGTGCCAAACCATATGAACTAGGAAGGCTCAATTATGAAAAGGTGACCAAGTGCTAACTTTTTGTCTTGGAGACTTAATATTAATTCAGAAGAGGCTGAATCCAACAAGTTATGTTGGAGTTCAAACAGTCAAGTGTCTTCACGTCAGAAGTTTTTCTTGAGATTCTTGCTAAATGGACCTGGTATCCTCAACTAGCAGTTGGCTAATATGACTCAGAAGTCCATAATGCGTCACAACATAAGGATTAATGCAATCAACAAAATTTAAAAATCCATCTTAGGTTCTACATAAACCCCCAATGGACATTGTTCTCTTACAAGGAAGGTTTGAGAAGAATACTATGCTTGTTTTTACTTCTCCTTGATCATGACCCTTACAGTGCAACTTTGCGTTACAACTGATGCACGAGATTAGGCATGCATCAATAGTTTCTTTAATGTTTAAAAAAATCGAAATATTTTTTTAAATAAGAGACACAAAGCTTTCAGTACCTAAAAGGAGGAACACAAGATGGAAGGAGATAAGCATCTCCTCCCGAACTATCAATTGACCTCCTTCCAGATTGATTACGGAGTAGGGAAAATAGCAAAGTCGTGTAATTTTGACCAAGAAGAGGCAGTATGCTTTACAACCTCTCAATAAGTACAAAAATAACCTGATAGTTAAATAAATAAGTTAGCCTGCGTTTGATAAGATAAACGAATACACATGAAGAGACGTTATTTGGACTCCATGCAGAAATTTTACATTAAAGAAACTATGAGCACCGACGAAGACTCCCTTAAATCCTGCAAGCATGAGTTAAACGAGATATTCATAAATAGGTAAGAAACTAACAATTCTATCATGTAAATCCTGAGGCTAATAAGAATAGCTGTGCGCGCATGATGTGTAAAAATAATCCATTGGTCTTTGAGGGAGAGAAAATACCTCAGGGTCAAATATGCCTCTCATTCTTGAGCTTTTCTGTTGCGATGCTTTGGAATTATATGTTGGGCATGTTATACAGAAAGGATCATTGCACACTCCCAGCTGGCCAGACTTTATTAAGTGTTCATTTCTGCCAGCATAGTGTTGAATGGCCCAATCAGACGCGTCATTCGTCTTGAAAGAAGGAAATTTGCCTGTCAATGGCTCTGCAGTTTTGCTTTCAGTCACACCTGGACTTGACTGTGAAGATTTTTCAGGTTTACGGAGAGTATATTTTGAACCACTCTCTAGGAATGGACTTTTTCTTTCAATTCGTAAGGGACCAGTATAACCAACAAGCTTTGCATCACTGACATATATCCCAGAAGAAGTTGGAATTGATAGCGATGAACTCCGGGCCAATGATGCATACGAAGGAAAATAAGAACCCAGTTGTTCATCTAACAATGGTGGACCAGTGTCTGATAGCATCGGTGTATCGTCTTTTTCAAAGGAAGCCATTTCTAAGTATCTAGGCATAGGATTAGAGAACTGAACAAATTAAAAACGAAATAATTGCTCAAAAGGAAAAGAGTGAGAAGTGCACAAGAAACATCATTTTTTCCCATGATATGACAAACACAAATCATTAGTCTGAACTGAATAAAATCTCCATGATGCGGGACTTAAGTTGACTTCCTCTGCTTATAAATTAGTGATATCGGGGCGCAATAAAGCGCCATATAACCAGAAGCAACAACATCAATCAATTTGAAGCAACTAAACAGATATCTCATAAGAAAAGAAAGGAAGCAATGTTCCATATGGAGTTCAGATTATAGATGATGAATAGAATGCCCATTTCCCTCTGGAGTGCCAATGATAAGGAAAAACATAATTCGGAAATAAGCACGTCTTGAACATCTGTAGATCAACATTAAATTCCCACAGCAGCATAAAAATACTAAACACTGTCTGATTCTCGTTTACTGAAAATAAATCTATGTACATAAAATTTTAATAAGCGAACGGTTATTACATGGACAAAAACAAATTACGAGATATTTGCGCACCTAGAATGCGACTAGGCAAAAGAAATACCAAAATCTAAAGATTTTACTATTTTAGACTAATTGTAATCCAATCACAAATATCAACAAATTTTTTCTCGTTTCTTTCCAAACAATTCATCAAAATAGAGCTCGAAATGCACTATTCCAAAAAAAAAAAAAAAACAATCTCATTTGGAGACAGAATACACATTCCTCAGAAAAGACCAGCAAGCATCAAATAAAATACAATGAAAATTTGCTACCACTTGTTCGACATTTCATGTATTACTCCCTCCCCTTTACATACCATGGAAATTTACCATCACTGACTCGACATTTCACGTTTTACTTCATCTATTCCTAAACTGTGAACTTTTAATATCACCAACTCAACAATTCTGACATTCAGCTAGATCTAATAACTGTAAGTAAAATTCTTTTTTTTTTTCTTTTTTTTTTTTTAATGTTGCTGGCTACTGAAGTAATTTAATTTTTCTTGCTCCTATTAATAGAGCTCCAAAGATGGAGAATGACTAATATTTTTTAGTTTTTGGATTGAGAAATTTATTTGGCCTTACTAATTGTTTTTTTTTTTTTTTTCCTTTAATTACTGAAGTTGAATGAAAATCAGCGTGCAGGACCTTCATAAAAAGTAAATCCAACGAACACTACTGGATATATCAGACAGGCGAAGAAGGAATTGCCGAAAGCTGGAAATATCAGACAGCGAGCGCGCTGAAGGAATTCGTGTATGTGCGTGTGGCGCGCGCCTATATCAGGCAGGAAAGATCGAAAGAGAAAGAAGCAGATGAAAAAGTAAGAAAGCAATTGCAACTGCAAATATGTTGCTTCTAGTTTCTTTTCTCAGTTCATATGTTGTTTGTATATACTATAAGAAGCTGAATTGAGCAAGAGAAATAAGCAATTCGACCATTGCGGTGCTCAAAAAGCATCAGTAGGAATCCAAGAAGCCATCAAAAGTAAAAATACAGAAAAACAGAAAAAGAACCTGAAGAAAAGAAAAGCTGGAGAGGAGAAGGCAAACCTGAGACTGAGAGAGATGCAGAAGGTTACTTAGAACTGGATTCTTAAGCGAAATCCATGGCAGCAGAGAGAAGAAGAAAGTGAAAGTGTGAAGAGATGAAGAAGCCGGCAACTGCATTGTGAGAGAGGATATTGTATAGTACAAGAGCTGACCGAGGCAAAGCAGCGACTGCGAAGACTTTGAACGTTCTCATGCTTAATCTATTATCCGTCCAAGGAGCCTTCCGTCAACGTTCCTACGCCTCGTCCACAGTCTCTCTGTAGTTAACGCGGGTTTGGCCTACTCGCACGCCCATTGGTCGTTCGCGTAAATACCATCACCGTTCTCTTCGCGGGATTAAAATTAAATAACTCCTAATAGCAATTTTTTTTTTTCATTAATAGAGACTAAATATTTCGTGTATATAAACTAAAATTTTATATCTATACTCAGTGAAGTAAACAAACGTGTTGTAAAAGTATAATGAAAGTTAATTTTTTTTTTTTTTAAGTTAAACAACTGGTGAAATTTGGAAAATTCAGTTGATAGTATACCTACTTAAGTCACTTGAGTTAGGCTAATTAGAAGGTTAAATACACGTATATTAATACAGTCATAATTAGTATATTAATTAAATTTAAGTCTCCAAAATAACAGGATGATTAAGATAATTTAAGTATACAATATTTATGTTTTTATATAATTACTTGCAAACATGCAGCAAAAAGAAGACGGTGAAAATAATATGGATAGAATAGAGGTTAATATTTTAAGTACATTAATACATAAAATTTAATTTAATTTATTAAATTCATAATATTACACCTAATGTTCTAGTAGAACCCACATTTACTTATAATTATGATAATTTAACTGATCTATTTCATTTATTGTGTGTTAGGGGTCACATTATTTGAGAGACACCACAATAGGGTTCAATATTTGGAAATAAACTAAAAAATATATTTTAAATTATATTAAATAATTATTAGAAAGAATGTATATTCAAAATTACTGTAATTTTAGATTGGTTAACTGTCACTACCCGATTTTCGATCATTACATTGGCTACTATATTTGCAAAATGGCCCTTCGATTAACAAGAATTTGCGTGGGCCCTAATTAAAAGTAGAGGACGAGGGGCAACTCTGCAAAATAAAAGTCGTTTTCACATAGGGGCATTGAAGCTCCGGCCCATTACCAACCATGGAGATCACGACGCCTGAAATCAGCAAGAAGAAGAAAGAGGAGAACGACGTCGTTCCGGAGAGCCTGGAGTTCCTGACGGTGAGGCGCTACGCGCCGCCGTCCTGGGCCTCCCATCTCAACCACATTCCCACGCACTTCTCTTCTCTTGGCCACGTAAGTGAAGACCTTTCGAAGCTTCCTTTCATTTTAATTTACACAAAACTTCATTTTAATTATTTTTTTGAATCAGTTTACTACTCCCATTCACAAATGGAACCTTCCAAATCTGCCAAAGAATACCCACGTCTGGATCAAGGTCATTGTTTCTTTAATTCTATGTTCTTCCTAGCTGCTGCTTAACCTAATATTAAGAACTGTGTTACTTGAAAACGATTTGCTGCAGCGGGAGGATCTTTGTGGAATGCAACTGAGTGGGAATAAAGTCAGAAAATTAGAGTTCTTTATAGCGGATGCTCTGCAGCAAGGCGCCGACTGCATAATTACTGCAGGATTCGTTCAAAGCAACCACTGTCGTGCCGCTGCTGTCGCCGCTAAGTACTTCAATCTCGACTCTTATCTTATTCTATTCACTTCCAAGGTTATTAATCTTTTCTTTTCCAACATTAATGGACTCTCGACATGGTTATAAATAGATAACTTTTTCACTATCGCACCATTTAGGTGGGGATGGACTCTCGACATGATTATAAATAGATAACTTTTTCACTATCGCACCATTTAGGTGGGGTGGTTTTAGCGAATATTCTCATGAATGATGCAGGCCCTTGTAAACGAAGATCCAGGATTGAAAGGAAATCTTCTCGTGGAGCGGTTAGTTGGAGCTCAAGTTGAGCTTGCCCCAATAGAAGATCTTAAAAAATTTGGCTCTGTTGTGGTTTGTTGCCTTTCCCTTGTTTGTGTGAGCTTGATTTGATGAACACAACAGAACAATGATTAATAGCTTGTGTTTTGTTGTGTGTTTAAACCATAGCCATTCACGGATTGCCTAAAGTCAACATTACTCGCTGAAGGAAGAAAACCGTATGTTATTCCTGCTGGAGGAAGTAATACCCTTGGAAATTGGTGGGCTTTAATTCTTCCATCTTAGATATAAACTACTCTGTCTGTCTCCATTATTTATGTAGACATTGGTTATGTTTAGGGGCTATATTGAAGCAACTAGGGAGATTGAAGAACAGCTGAATGGGACGATCAAGTTTGACGATATCGTTGTAGCTTGTGGCAGGTTTTGCTTTCTTGTGGTGCTAAAAATATCAATGAAAATGGATGCTTTAGTAGTAGAACCTAATGAAAAGTGGCTGCCGGTGTTTCTTGTTTTCAGTGGAGGCACGCTTGTTGGTTTGTCATTGGGGTCATGGTTAAGTACCCTCAAGGCAAAAGTAAGGCCCTTCTTCACTATGTCACTCTTCTTGTTTGGTTACTCTTTCTCTCTCTAGTAGACGCGTTATAAAATTGTGAGGCTGACACACCAAACCGGACAATATCTACTAGCAGTAGGCTTGGGCTGTATACAAATGGTATTAGAGCCAGATATCGCGGGCGATGCTAGCAAGGACGTTGGGCTCCTAAGGAGGGTGGATTGTGAGATCCCACGTTGGTTGGAGAGGGGAACGAAACATTCCTTATAAGGATAAACGTGTTTTAAAACCGTGAGGCTGACGATGATATGTAACAGGCCAAAGCGGACAATATCGGCTATTGGTGTGCTTGGATTGTTACAAATGGTATTAGAGCCAGACACCGGACGGTGTCAGCAAGGACGTTGGGCTCCCAAACATTGGTTGTAGAGAGGAACAAAACATTCCTTATAAAGACAGAGGCGTTTTAAAATCGTGAGGCCAACGACGATACGTAACAGGCTAAAGCAGACAATATCTTGTAGCGGTATGCTTGGGCTGTTACACATGATACTAGAGCCAGACACCGAACGGTGCTAGCGAGGACATTGGGTTCCCAAGGAGGGTAGATTGTGAGATTCCACGTCGGTTGGAGAGGAGAACAAAACATTTCTTATAAGGGTGTAGAGTCTCTCCTTAACAGACGTGTTTTAGTTTTGCAGGTTCATGGATTCTCTATATTCGACAACGCTCATAATTATTTTCACGACCTTGTTCAACGCTCGCTTGACAGCTTTGGTGTTAGTATTGACTGGCATGATATTGTTGAAGTTCATCAAGTAAGTTGATTGTTGGAGTTTAGTTGTGATTAATGAAGACAAAATTGAATTGGTTTATATGGCTTTAATTATGCAATAATTCAGGCATGAATCACCTGGTTCTTTGCACGTAATGTGAACAGGCGAAGGGTTTGGGGTATGCGATGAACACGTGTGAGGAGCTTCATTTTATTAAAGAAGTAGCTCAGTCTACTGGCATTGTTCTGGATCCAGTGTATAGGTATATGCTTATATGTTACAATACTTACCCAAATTCTACAGCTTTATTTTATGCGCTGTGTTCTTTATCACTTTCAGCGGGAAAGCTGCTTATGGAATGATGAAAGAAATGAGTGAAAATCCAAGCAAGTGGGAAGGGAGGAAGGTTTTGTTCATTCACACAGGAGGACTGTTGGGGATGTATGGCAAAGTTGATGAGTTTGAGTCCATACTGTCGGGAAAATGGCGTCGTTTGGACGATCATCTAATTGTGCCTCCGATTGATGACGTTGGAAAGATGTTCTAAAACAGCCGTAGCCCCGTTGGTACTTCGTATTATTATTAAAATATAATGATCGCACACCTGATACCACTTCTTATTTCTTATTCTTAATAATAAATTATGTACTGTGCTTGATTATAAAATAAGGAGTGATGGTTTAATAAAACTTTTAATATTGTATTTAATAAAGTGTTAAACTTTAAAAATGTAATTTATAAATAATTAGTTATAATTATAAAACATAGAAGCCTTGTATTATTCTAATTGCTTTTAAATTACTGTTAGAACTGGATTTTCTATAATAATATTTGACGTTTATTAATTTAAAAGGACAAAACGTGCCGCGATATCTGTGGGCCGTGGGCTTTGTTAGTTCCTTCGTCGGTCCAATTTATTTTTCTTTCATTCTGATCTCTTTTCTTTTTTATATTCGTATTTGCCCCACAAAAAGAATACGTTTTCAATAACGCCCCAATACGTATTTTCTTTCCATATCTACTCCCACGAACAATTAATAGTTGAGGATGTTAGAAATTTACACGTTGGCTAATTTAGTAAATGATTCTGAGCAAACCGAAGAATACTCTATCTATTAGTGTTAGATCTTCTAGAGAAGCTATAACTTATACAAGGACAATATCAAATCATTGTGGTGAGTAGTGTTCATCTAAAGTACTTTCAGAGTCATATCCTATAAATTTAGCCTGAAATTAGTAAATCTTCAAATGTTGGAGAAAGGACTCAAAAAAAAAAAAAAATACATACAATGGCATGCTCCAACAGTTGCTACTCACCGCGCCATCAACCAACTCGGCGTCATTTTTATTGTCGACGTCGACCCTCTTCACAGGAGGGTTCCGCAACCGCAACCAGCGCTTCTCCTTTTCTCCGCCATCAAGTCCGAGTTTAGATTGCATTCGTTGCAGTATCTCACAGTCTCCGGCGATGGAGATGAAGGCTGAAAGCAAGAAAAACGACGAGGTCCTCAGCAACTGCAGCCTCCTCTCTGTCAGACCTTATGTCGCTCCGTCCTGGGCCTCACACCTAAATCCAATCCCCACTCACTTCTCTTCTCTTGCACATGTAAGTTTCCTATTACCAATTTCATTTCCGGCTTGTCTTGCAATCATCATTGCTTCGTTAAGAATGTTGTTGTAGTTAGTTACTGTTTACAATTTTGGAATCATGTTCCTACTCCCATTCACAAGTGGAACCTTCCTAATCTGCCCAACAACACCGAGGTCTGGCTCAAGGTAATTCATTCTGACTGAACCTTTTCTCTTATAGAAATTCGTTTGATTGTTTTCCCGCCAATGTGGAAATGGACGTTTTATGCTAAGAGTAACTACGATTTTTTCTCCATTTTATACTTCCGGAGTCCTGAGAACATAATTTTACTGGTTACTTTTACCGCTGATTTCTAGAATTCTCATCAAACATAATATGCATGCATTATGTCTTCAAACATTTATTTTTATGTTCGTAGTGTTTTTCTTTTTAGTTTTTCTTATTTACTTGTTACACTAGTGGAAATATTGCTGACACAATGAATGCAGCGTGATGATCTTTCAGGGAATGCAAATGAGTGGCAATAAAGTCAGAAAATTAGAGTTCTTGATAGCAGATGCTTTGCAACAGGGTGCGGACTGTATTATAACCATAGAAGCCATCCAAAGCAATCACTGCCGGGCTACTGCTGTGGCTGCAAAGTATTTCAATCTTGACACTTATCTTATTCTAAGCACTTCCAAGGTTAAAATTACATTTTGTTAGAATTACCTCTCACAATTTTCTTTATTCTTATGATTTGATATCCTCCTATGTTACGTCCATGATGCAGGCCCTTGTGAATCAAGACCCTGGATTGACTGGAAATCTCCTTTTTGAGCGGTTAGTGGGAGCTCATGTTGAACTTGTCTCAGAGGAAGAGTGCAAAAATTGGAAGCGTGGTTTGTTGATTTCTTCTCTGTTACCATGTTGTTCTTTGGATTTTTGTTAGTGAGAGAACATGCTGATGGTTTTTTGTTCTTGGTTTCAACTTCAGGCACTAACAGATTATCTAAAGTCAAAATTAGTCGCTGAAGGAAGAAAGCCATATGTTATTCCTATTGGAGGATCGAATTCCCATGGAACTTGGTACGATTTGGCTGTGTTTGTTTCCTCCTATCCATGATTGTGAGATCCTACGTCGGTTGGAGAAGAGAACGAAACATTCTTTATAAGAGTGTGGAAACCTCTCTCTAGCATATACGTTTTAAAAACCTTGATGTTACAATGTTAGGTGTGGTTGGATTTGATGGCTGACTGTTCTCCGGAAAAGAATAAAACGATCATGCTGAAGAAGCATAAATAGTTTTCTTGGTTTCATTCCTTACGAAGATAGCGAAACATAATCATTTGACTACTGATGTATTGCATAAATATCATCATTACATTAATAAGGAATAAATGTGTTTTGGTTATCCTCAGGGGTTATATTGAAGCAATTAGGGAGATTGAGCGGCAACTGGATACTGGAATCGACAAGATCAAGTTTGATGATATTGTAGTAGCTTGTGGCAGGTTCTTTATTGCTGCCTTTTCCTTGTTTACTTTCTTTTTAGTAACTTGGTTGTAGTACTTTTATACTTAAATATTTGATGTCTTACGTTTTGGTTCTTTTCAGTGGGAGCACAGTCGCTGGTCTAGCATTGGGATCATGGTTGAGCACATTGAAGGCAAAAGTATTATTATTATTATTATTATTTTCTTTTTCCTTTCTAAAATCGTCTTGTTGTTGCTCTTTACATCTTAGTTCCTCACATTTTAAGTTTGTTGATACCTGCAGATTCGTGCATTCTCCGTTTGTTATGATCCTGATTACTTCCACAAGTTGGTTCAAGGTTTACTCGATGGCCTTCATGCCGGTGTTGACTCACACGATATAGTTGAAATCCAAGATGTAAGTAGGACTTTTAGTTCATCTATGAAGGTTGTTGGCTTGCTTAAGTTTGGCAGCATCGTTTTTATTATTTTGTTGAATTGAAACCATCTTCCTTTCGTTTTCTCCCCTTTTTAGTGCCATTTGTTCTATGGAGCCTAACCTCTGTCTTCTTCCCGTCTTTTTTTGCTGGTTCTGATCTTTTATCTCCACAGAATAAACTTGAGATGAACTTTCCTTTCTTCTTGTTCTATGTTTAGGCAAAGTGTCTTGGCTATGCAATTAGCACGCCTGATGAGCTTAATTTTGTAAAAGAAGTCCCTGAATCCACGGGCGTTGTTCTTGATCCAGTATACAGGTATGCATCCTACGACATATACATACATAGAGTAAATATGAGATCCCCACAAATGAAGCATTTTTTATAAGGATGTGAAAACCTCTCTAGCAAACGCATTTTTTTTGTTTATTTCCTTAGGACTGTCATATTTTCAGCGGGAAAGCAGCTTATGGTATGATGATAGACATGTCTGAGAATCCAAAGAAGTGGGAAGGGAGGAAGATTCTGTTCATTCATACTGGAGGACTGTTGGGACTGTACGCCAAAGCTGATCAGCTGGGCTCAATGTTGGGGAAGTGTAGTCGTTTGGACGTTAATGAGTGTGTGCCTCGAATCAATGGAGTTAGGAAAATGTTCTAAAACATCGCAATAAAGTTTCTTAATAGATGTTTGAATTATCAGGGATTGGAACATATTATTATTAATCATTTTATGAACGCTTACTATTGAAAGTCCAATAATATATGACTTTTCTTTATTTTGTATATGCTAGAAGTATCCATGAGTGCTGATTCGAATCATTCGATAGTACTTTTGTATTTTATGAAATTATTTATGACATTCTTTTCTTTTTTTGTTTACAGGACAAAAGGTAACGTATTGGATTACAGAAACTCTAAAATAAAATTTTAGGGATTAATTTTGCTTCTCTCAGTCTTTCTCCAGGGCGATCCATGGTGTTGGTCAATCCAAAGCTTCAACCAATGATTAGAGTTGAACTTGAATGGCTGCGATGGTGATGTACAGATTAAGGATTGAAGGCTAAGTAAAGAATATTTGTTTGTAATTCTAAAGCTTATGAAGAAACCATTTCCAGAAGAAACCACATAACTTCTTGTGTGACACTTGCAAAAGAATATTTCTTCTCCATCTCTGCAGATTTCTTGTATATAAAAACAGAGGGGTCACCATATGGACTGCATTCAATCAAATTAGCCGCGAAGTAAACCAACAATGGAGAAAGGTGAAGCTTCGAATGTGTCGTACGAGGAATTCGAGCCTTTCTGCAAATGGAAAAAACTCGACGACTCCGACGTTCATGTTCTTGAGGTTCATCTCCCAGGTATTCATCAAATCAACTTACGGTCTCTTCTGTATGCTCATTATATTCTTAGTGATTTGAAATTGAAAACTGCACTTGTGAAACAGAATTCAAGAAAGAAGAATTGAGGGTTCGGATAAAGAACAACTCTATCCTTGCAATTTCCGGCGAGCACCTCGCCAATGATGGGAAGAAGATGCAATTCAACAGAGAAATCAAACTCCCAAAGGATATATACCCAGACCAAATCCGTGCCAAATTCGGTGGCTCTGTCCTTTCTATCACGATGCCTAAGAAACCCAGCTCGGCGGAAAGCAGCAAACCAAAGGCGGACGCCGCCTCGGAGGGTAATGACACAGCACCCAATGATGATGGTAAGCCAAAGAACTTGATATCCAGGTTAACAAGTCCATTATCGAGGCTGAAATTTAGCAAGAAAAAGGCGACGGCTTTGGCGGCGGCAGTGGTGATTCTGGCCTTCGGAGCTTACTACTTGATTAAAAACAGGGATTAAATTATATTCTTTGTTCGAACTGCATACATAGAATCAAATTGGATTCACCAATAATAAATCATTCATGTTCATTAACTAAGAGCCACTGATTAATCTACCCTGTGAAGCTGAGAGTTCAATGGTGGGGGGCTTCCCAGATTATCCCCTTGGATTTCATTGATGATAGTTGTGTTCGTGTCTATAATACTTGCATTATACATTGATTGAAGCATTTTGATATGTCATTTTAGGTGTGCGTCGGTATCTTCAATTTTAATTTGTTCCCCAATTCTAGGCTTTTAGTGACACGTTACTCTGCATCAATGTATGTCTTAATTAAGTAGTCCCACAATCTCTGTCTCTTCTGCCAATGACCAATCTCAATCAAGATCAAGGAAGAATATCTACTTTTCTTGAATCACCTGAATCAAATAATGCTGCACTTCCAGAAGGAACTACTCAAATTTGAGTCCGGGATATCAATTTGGTACCATATAATTAGAAGTTCGAATCTCTAAATGAAATAATTAGAGAATATAACTTAAGTGGTCAAAATATCCACTAAATTTGAAGATAATTATTGTACTTCGTTCAATGAATACGTTTCTTTCGTATGAATGTCGACTATTTGTCTTGTTGTACAAAATGGATAAACATCAATCGTTAACGAGTTTATGATTATATCCCTTCTATCCATCTATTACTTTCATCCATTAAAATTTAATAAAATTTAATATAGAAAGAATTAAAAATAAGCTTAGATTAAGAATAAAAAAAAAATATTGATTTTAGGTTTATGTATTTGTATTAGGTGACCCAAATCATTTGTTTTTGAGGTGTAGGGTGGAAATGGTGGCATAATTTTGTGATATATGCCACACACCCACCAGCCTCACCCATGTGCTCGTGCAATAGCTTCTAGTGTATATATATATATTGACATTTATAATTTTATCTAAACAAATCATTTTTCTCCTCTTCTCTTTCTCTTCTTAAATACGTTTTTTTTTCAATTAATTTATTCACGTCGTTATTATTATTGTTTTATAAGAAGCAGTTATACGTTCTTATAGCTATTATACAACGCTAGACCCTTTGCAGTAGTCCAAGTTTGCTACTAGTAGAATGCGTTTGTTGGGGAGGATATGTAGAAGATACCGTCTCTTTACACCGAGTGGTGTATCAGTGAAAATGTTGGATCCCAAAAGAGATGAATCGTAAAATTTCCCATTAGTCTGAGAGAGGAACGGAATATTCTTAATAAGAGCATGAAAACTTCTCCCTAATAAATATATTTTAAAATCGTGAAATTGACGACGATATGTAACGAGTCAAAAGATGCGGTAGGTAAGCAAAGGGTGGATGATGTTTAATAAGTGGAAAGATTTTGAGAGTGGGGTGAGTTGAAAAGATAGAAATTTGAAAATGGAAAGGAACATAAGTTGGGAGCAAAGGCAAAAGGGCGTGCCGCAGTGCCGCAGTGCCGCTGCCGCCCAGGCATTATGAACTCCCCACCTGGGCCCTCCCCATTTTCCTCTTCCATTTCATCCCCCAATCTCATGGGGTTGGAAGCGGAAATAAAAAATAATAATAATAATAATAATGTTTTTGTGGAGTGTGACATATGATGAAAGAAGTGGTGGGATTGAGGAAGAATAATTGATTGAAAATTACACACAAAAGTGGAGGTTCCTAAGCCCATTGCTTGACCCTTTGCTTCCTTTTATTTTTGCAAATGGAGGTGTTGGATCCTCTTAAACATTATTACCCTTCTTTAATTCCCTTTGTATTTTGGTTTGCATACAGACAAGCAGTTTTGTCTAGGCGCCGTCTGGTGGATCCCTCCACTTTATCATTTATTTGTTAATTCCTATTTCCCAATTTAATCTAATCTACCCCTTCTTAGGACTCCTTTCAAAATATTTCTACAACCATATCTTTATTTTAATACCAGACTTTTGACTCATTTCAAAGCATTTCTTGTAACGTAGAAATATTATAAGAAATGCTTTTAAAATTGTAAAACTGAGAGCAACCCGCCTTTTAAATTATATATAATTTTTGCAAAATCTATTTATTAGATTAAGAATTGAAATAAGTGGGTTGATTGTGGTTTGTTGCATATAATTGAATGAAACTAATAATTTTGATAGGCATGGGTTAGGGAAAAGAAAAGAAAAGGAAAGGAAAGCTCCTTCTCATATTCCATGGAAAATGACAAATTAAATCCAACAAAAAAAAAAATCAGGTACATCTAATTAGGACCCTCTATTTCTATTGTCCGTGTAGGGTGTTAGGGGCGCCCCATTTATACACAAATATATAAATATATAATAATAAATTCATGAGGGGAATCTTTCTTGGCTTTGAAATGTCACCTAATTTCTTATTTTTTTTAATCTCAAATTATTGATGGAACATTCTAATGCTCCCTTCTTAACCCTTTTTTATTATTATTATTATTATTATTATTATTATTATTATTATTATTATTATTATTATTATTATTATTATTATTATTATAGGGTTTTAACTTTTTCAACCACATTTAACTGATGGGCAAACCCAAGAGCAAGAAGGAGCTACCGTTCATTCGACTATCTTTACTTTCGTTGGGTATGTCTCTGATAAATTACTATTTGAGAGGTTTACTTGTTTTTGAATGACAGAATTATTAGTTTTTAAATAATGGTTGAGATCACTACATGTATGAAGACGAGTCGTAACAAAAACACGGCATATAAGACCTTTAGATATATATATAAAATATGGGTGGGTGGGTCATGTTTAAAATAATATAAGGTTTGATAAATGATGAAAGTGGGTGTGGGTTTAAAATGTAATCATATTAGACACCAACAGAATTGAATGAAAATAAGTATACGAAGGGTATTATTCCAAGCGAATTGAAGTCACAAATGGGCTCCAAGCTGTCAAAGCATATGGCAGCTCCACCCTCCATGCCTGCTTCCTCACCTCAGACACCTAACTCACCTCCACACCCCATGTCTTTTTTTTTTTTTTTTTTTTTTTTTTTTTTTTTTTTTTTTTTTT